TAAGAAATTGTCAAAAAGATTGCGTGCACGTTTGCTTCGATATTCTTTGAATGATGGGTTGCTATGCTATAGCACCGATTCATCGGATACACCACGAATTGAGGTTCCTCATGATAAGGATTAAAAATGCCGCATTCTCTATGAGAAAACGTAGTACAACTCTGTGACTCACCACTATTGGCGGCCCAAGTTGTATAAATGGACGAGCACCTATGTGCGCACGTGTGAGACGTGTCAGCGGGTAACACCCTCTCCAAATGCGGCTGCGTCGCTGGCCAGCTTACCGGTACCCACTGGGTGCTGGCAGCCCATGGGTTTGGACTTTGTGTTTGGCCTACCGAAACATTTGGTGGGCAACACGGGTGTCGTGGCATTTGTCGACCGGTTGAGCAAGATGGCTCATTTGGCGGCGGTGCCAGAGACCATTGACGGAGTCGGTAAAGCAACGCTGTTTGTAGATCGTGTTTTTCGACAACACAGACTCCCAGAGTCGATTGTCTTTGATAGAGACCCCCGTTTCACGGGAAAAGTTTGGTCGACTATCTGTAAGGTGTTCGGCACCAAGTCAGATATGTTGACGGCGGATCATCCGCAGACCGATGGTCCAACCGAAAGGGTGAATCGCGTCGTCGAAGACGTTCTTCGCAGCGTCCGCGCTGAGACGCCGAGTCGCTGGAGCGCCATGTTGCCACTCGTAGAGTTTGCACTGAACAATGCAGTGCATTCGTCTACCGGCTACACGCCGTATTACGTGAACGGGCTAATTCACCCTCGCGTCCCGCTAACGCCGCCATCCCATGGCTCAAGGCTTGGTGGGGGGGAATAGCCGAACGGCTAGCTGATATCATCCCCCTCACCATCCGTAAAAAAGTCGATGAATTCTTGTCTACCAGACTGAGTGTCCTACGACACGTTCGCGATGCGATAGCCAAGACCCGCAGAAACAATATGCAGATGAAAAAGGAAGAGGCAAAGTAGAAAGCTTTGAGGTCGTGGACCTGGTTTTACCAGATTCAAAAAAACCTGCCTACACATGCAGCCTCTGCTATCTTCAGGACGAAGCTTCGTCCACG